ACTGGCCCTCCTCACCTTAGGAGCCACCTTGTTTTTTGAAAATTAACTTGGAGCAGGAGAGCTGCAGTAGGACACGACATCCTCAGCTCCCAGTCCTAGTCTGCCCGTGGATTTTCTTTTTTTTAGTGAATTAGCTGGTGCAGTGACAACGCTCTCAATTGAACAGCGGTTCATCTGCCATGCTCGTGATAATAAGTGATGACAGAAGTATTTTTTATACGGGGAACGGAACTAACCTACCCGAAAGACTTGCCGTAACATAACCATAAGGGACGTGAGGTGTAGGCAATGCTAATTAGCACCTATGCAGATCTCTACACACGATAAGCCTCGTTCTCATCCAGAAACGCATGAACCCGGAAGTAAGCTGCAGTCTTGAACTGAAACAGTATCGATATGTGCCCGATCAAAGTGAATGGTGGTAGCCTAGGGTTTTCTTCAGGTTATTCGCAAAGCTGAAACCAGCCCTACTATATGCTGCCAATATCTTCGCGCTGTTAGACAAGACAGTTATTAGCGATCACATTTAATACATTTTAGGACCTTGAATTACATACTAAGAGGCTATCATAAATCATACATGAGGAGCTTCCTTGATAGATATTGTACATAGCTCGTAATTTGTGAAAAAATCAACGCACTCCCACGGACTTCGCCGAAATTCGCGTAGCGTCGCATATTTTACTTCGAAGTGGACGAATCCTGAAACCAAGAGCATCCAACTCACCTCGACGGCATGTTTTATTAGGTTGGTGCAACAATAAAGTACGTTTTGCATAGTTTTAGCTTGAAAAGCTATAAGTTTGTCTAGTCTTCATATTTTTGAATGCAATCAAAACCATCAGACGCAGAAAATCTTCCTGAACTAACGCGCATCTGCTGTTACTAATATCACAAACGTGAAGAAAAGTATGCGTCAAAAAGCGAAAGTTTTCCTTTCGAAAACTTCGTCTTCGAGAGGTTACAACTTCTTTCAAGTTTTGTACACATGGTTGTGACCAGCTTATTTTATAGACGCAAGCCCGTACTACAGGGTGTCCCAAAAGTAAGTACACACTTTTCAACCGTCAATATCTCTCTTCCCAATGGGCCTTTCTTTTACCATTCAAATACCATTGTGTAGAGGAGACTTGAACTTAGATTTACAGTATCGAGCGAATCACCGATCGCTTTTGCATACTGTAGGATTACGGTAAGAGCTCTCAGCATGTGAAACTTTTGTGAATTTGCCATCTGACAAAATTTTTTTAAAAACCCTGAAAAATCGTCTTACTAGGGTTCGCGTACGCTGATTCCACTACACAATTTTCACATTTGTTTTCAGCTTTTTTTGACGGTAAAATCACGCTTCTGACAATACTGAAAATTCAGTTATAACGGTTTACCTGGAATAGCTTTGGAAATAAGCACCACAGTAAAGTAGAAACTTTATACTCGAAATCAGCGGCTTTCATCACTATAGTATAAGAGTTTTTGGCTTGTTTGGTTTTGTTCAGAATGGCTTTCAATGGCCTAAAATCCTTGTCGAAGCTCCTGCAGTAATCCTACAGTAACGAAGAGAGATCGGTGATTCGCTCGATACGGCAAATCTAAGTTGAAGCCTCCTCTACAGAATGGTACTTAAATGGTGGAAAAAGACACAATGGGAAGAAAGATATTAACGATTGAAAAGTGTGTACTTACTTTTAGGACACCCTGTATACGCTAGTTTCGGAAAAACTTCAAACGACGGGGATATGCGAAGAAAAGACAAAATTGTTCACTTTTTCGAACCTATTTGCGGCAGGCTAGGAATTCCCAAACTATGGAAATTTGAAATTCTTCATACAATGAATAGCTAAGATTTTCTGCAAGATTTGTAGGAAAGGTGTTCCGACCTTAAACGTACAGAAATGTGCGAAGGTTTGGCGATTGCCTTAATCATGGGTAGTTTTTGACCCATGGAATGCCAGCAGCGAGTATCTATTTCAGGGCGTTGATTTCTCGGTTCAAATATTTTTGAAAAATCTACTCAAACATGCTATAAGTAAACAATGTTCAACCAATAGTAGCCATGTTTTGAAAAGAATCCGTTCATTTGCGTCTGAACTGTGGCCAAGGGAGTTAAAGCAACTAATTTTTGATTTTGAGTGTAGCTGTGTGAGATGCTGGTGAAATTCTCACAGATAAGATAAAAGCTTAACTTCATCAGTGTTAGAAAGTACTTGAAGAAAGTTTTCCAACGATATGCAGAACCATATCGAAGAAGAACTTTCGAAGGGAAAAAGTTGTTCTGAATATAGGCCTAGAAAAACGGACATTTTTTACACCAACATAATTATAAGTAGAAGCGACTGTTTGAGCACGGTAGCCGACCAAATTTTGAGGATCCCTCCAAAATCTTACTACTACTTACTCAAATACTTTTCGCAGATCTTGTGTAAATTCTGTGTAACATCTTCTTATTGAACTTCATTTTTTTTTCTAATAGACTCGAGCCCTCAAAGAAGTGTCTCCCATGCATGCAGCACATCGAGGTATCTTGTATGCACCCTGTTCGGTTGTGTAAATGATTGCATGTGATGGTAATTCCATGCAACAAATGATCCACATTCAATTGAACATTGATTATAGCCATCTTCTAGGCTTTGACCATACATTATCAGTGTTATCCGTGTTACCAGTGTTATCAGTATTACCCGTGATATCTGTGTTACATGTGTTTTTAGTGTCACTCGTGTTACTGGTGTTACTAGTGCTACCGGTATTAAAAGTATTACTCTTCTCAGGTCCTGTAAACTCACCAGTCAGTGAGATTGCGTTCGAAAATGAGACTGTAGCGGTGATCATTCCAGTACTAGGCTGACTAACCGCAAAAGAACCTCTGGATTATAAGCTACTTAATGATGGCAGCCAAGTATGTCTAGCCCATCCTCATATGAAAGCATTAGTAAATCAAACTGGACGGTTTTGAAGAAAACCTTGCAAAATTCAAAAATTTTTCTCTTCTCTCTCGCTTGCCTTCCTTACATAGCATACACTGCTTGTGATAGCGATAAACTCGCTCAATACAATAAAATTTAATTTGTTCAAAATTGTTAATTTTGAAAAAAGTTATGAGATTTTAGATGAAAAAATCGCAATTCGGACAGAACTATTGAATCAGCCTAGTACTCAACGGTAATAAAAGCGGTAACACCAGTAACACTAGTAACACGGGTAACACTGGTAATATGTGGTCAAAGCCTTAGACGTCACACTGTATGTTAGATTGTTTTATGCTTAATGCACTTTTCTCAAAGTTCAGATCTGAGGACTATAATCGCCAAAAAGGAAGTCCCACGAGGGCGACCGCGTCATCCCCTTTTGGCAACATAGTGTCAGTCCCCTAACCCTAGTTCTGCACTGTGACCTCCCCTTTCCTCACTTCTTTTTTCGGATGCATATAGTCAGTCCTCTAACCCGGAATTTTGCATTACTAATATCCTGTGGCTCGAAAATTGGCATGGAAAGTTCCGGAAAATCTCCAGTTCGAGGGGACACAACTCATTACAGATTACTACAGTTGTATCGGTGGAATCCGGCCAAAACTGCGGGGTTTGCGGGGTCTATGGGACTTGTGTAATTTACCTATAAACTCTCCCAAAACAACTTTATTTGGAATCCTCAAAAGATTTGGATCCGCCTGATGAGACGAATCTTACAATATACATTATGCCCGTTTTCCATTGTGCATTGTATTGTATTGGCATGTATTATGAGAATATCAACATGTATTCTTGCTCATATGAATAAATTTTACAAATAACAAAGTATTATCAATGTTCCGTATAACCATGAACTACGGGCAACTATGGGTATACTTAAAGTCTCATCAAGTTGAAGCCAAATCTTCATGCGGACCAAAAGAAGTTGTTTTAGAAGAAGTTATAACTAAATCCCGCGAATCCAGCAATTTTGGCCGAATTCCATCGATACAACTGTAGCATGAGGCAAAATTGACTCGTTGCGTAGACAATCGGTCAAAGGCAATGGCTCGGCAAGATGGACCACTGTCAGATTTTGGTAATATTAGGTTGTAGATTTCCAAATAAGCGTAGCCCTAACCCCTTCTCCAATTCGTAGGCTAGTGAAAGGGCGCTCCCAAGTACATCATTTCCGCTCATCATTAAGTTGGAGTTATGGTGAATTTTAGAGCGCGTTCACAGAGCACAAATCGGAAGGTGGGGATGGAGCTACGGTGTATTTGGCGGTCTATTACCTAACACTAACAAAATTGGCAGAGGTCCATTTGCCGAGCCACTGTCGTGGTGGAGTGAAAGTTCGATTTCAGTTTTAGAAAATGAGAAAACTCTGCTTTTTCTTTACCACTAGTCTACTAGATTTATTCCAGCTGTACAGAACGAGCGTTTCGCAACCGATTCTTGCTTAAGGTTTTTTTACAGCAGGAATTGCACCAACGGTAAGCAAGTTTGAGTCAAAATTTTTTTGGCTCACAACTTTTCAAATTCACATGATAAGCAAGAGCGCAAAATTTAGCAACCATTATGCATATTGTTTGAAACGAAGTTGACTGTTTTCGTGGATTTGGGGCAAGAGGAGGAAAATTTTCAAAGTTCACTCTTATTTCTCTGAAAAAAAGGGTATAAACAAAGATCTGCGAATAAAAGAGTCTACAAGAAACGAGAAGAAGCGGAGTTTCAGACTCCACATAAAAGTATTTAGAAAAATGGTTCCCTTTGAAAATTAGCTTTTCAAAGAAGAGTTGCTTCAGTTTGAGACAACCTACATATGCAGACTAATTTTTCTGTAGGTGGACATGCTTCAAAACTTCTGAGAAAAAATGAAAATTCACGGATTTTGGCTGGCAAGAGATTAAGACACGAGCTAAGCAATTTTCTGCACAATCTTAACTTTTATGTGTAGAGTCGTGGTTATCATAGCAAAGCCGATTGCGATGGTTGTATCTTCGAATGTAGATTATTCAACATCCTTTACATATGGAGTAAACCCATTCAAAGATTTCAGATGCGCACGTCAATGTCATTGCTGCGGATGGCGCCGCATTTACGGTTCATTCGACACATATCGACTTCATCTACCTTTAAGGTATGTGTATACAAACCTGTACAGAATTATTGGAATTTGGGGAAACCATCTTGCGCGTTTGTACGTACGCTTTTGTGAAGTGAGATTACATGTATACGAGTGGATGAATGAAATGAATCACTCTCCTCGTTTTCTCTATAAAGCAATTGACTGATTGAGTGATGTGGTCGTTCCATTCTTGAACCACGACTAAAGGTTAGAGACGAAGGCTGAAGCCTTTATGTTAGACGTCGAATATTCGTACCTATTATTGCTGAAAAATCAATGGATCATTATTTACCCGAATAGTTGGACATTCGAAGAAGTGCATTAATCGACTATGTCTTTGGATAGAAAAACGCTTATCCTAATGTTCGTTTGGCTGGGCTAGTAGAAATAATATTCGTTTAATATTTGTTCAGATCGGACAAAAAGCCATTTGATCGTTCTGAAAGTTCTTTCGTTACTTCGATGTCATAAAAACACGTGGGAAAAAAGAAAGGTCAAGGGTTCCATTTTTAACGCAGCTTTCTTCCTCTTTTCAACTCATGTTCCTGAACATTTGCTCTTATGGTCAATAAGATGATCGCTGACGTTTCGAACTCAAGAATGACCATGTTTTGCTTTACTGAATTAGCAAATTTGTTCTAGTTCGAAAATGTTTCATAATCAGTAGATAACATAAACGAAGTTGCGATGCATGTTTGTTCAGCACCTATATTTTCTTCGCCAAAAAGTTTTCAAATTATTTTGAGATGCTCTCACAATCCATACCTGGACAACACAAACCTCCTAGAACATCAACCGGGGAGCTAGTCGGGTGTCATTCAATGAAACTGTTTCTCGTCTTTCTAACCGATTTTTTTTTGTTTTCGACTCGTATAGTTTTCGGAAATAAATTATTACTTTTTGAACGTATCCAAGCTAAACCCGGAAAATTCAAGATTTGTTATTTCAAGTCAGCAGACTCTCATTTGCTTCGTAAAATTTTTGAATCATAATAGATTTCTGAAAGTTTGAATCCTGAAAATTTGCTGGTGTTTAAATGTTTGTGCCTGATAGGCCCGCTAAAATTCGATGGTTTTAACAGAACTATCAAAATTATAAGGCGAGTTTTGGAAAAAAAAAAGCGATTTGTATCCTGTGGGGTTTGTTCTACATATCCGTAATCTGGACTTCTTTAGAGGTTGGAATGATTTGGAAAAATAGCGAACTTGACTTTGGCAGAAACAAGGGTTGTGATTTTCGCTTTTTTTTCTGACAAATCTTTAAAAAAAGTGCGGTGACAATATAACTTCCATAAGATCTTGAAAAAATCGAATGCTACTATGTTTCGTGGGTTATGATCCTGCGCAAAGAAGCTCTGTTTAGAAGAAAGGAAACTACTTTTGGAACAAGCTGATTTGTGTAGGTATTCGAATTAATTTCTCCATTAACAGATTCGACTAGGAAGGCGAATTTGTATAAAGATAGGACCAGAATGAATTCCAACGCTCAAATGAAATTCCTAAGCAGTCCAAGATTTTGCCCTTCGTCATTATAAAATCTTACAAGACGAAGATTGTTAAGTTATCCTTAATTTTTGTTTGCAATTTCTGATGCCAAGTACATACTACGGGTTCTGATTGTGATGCGCAATTTGTTGCCTTATGCTCTTTGCCATCCAAATCGTAACGTTTTCTGATGCATTACAAAGCGTGTAATCAAATGTGAGCTAAGAATCAAGGGAAGGCCACAAAATTTTGTGAGAAGTCACATTTTGGGTCTCACATGTTTTATGTCTTAACAAGTGCATTGAGCTTTGAGGGGCTATGCCGAGCAAACAACTATGCACTTGATTTTCAATTACATGCTATATTATATCGGTTTCATAGCTAATGGAAAAGGCTTTGGTTCTGCAATTTGAATAATCGTAGCACACTACTCGACTATTCGCATGATGAGACATTCAACTTCGTAGTTATTCATTTCTTCGATTTTGCGAAGTTCAATTCTGAGATGATAAGGTTCGAATACAAATTTGCACAATTTGGCAACCGCAAGTAAAGCGTATTTATTTATACAAGGTTTTAAAAATTACCTTCGATCTTCTTTGATTCGATAGAAATTTCTAGCCAGTGCAACCATGACAAGCACTCGACGGTCGGCTTCGTGAAAACAAGACATCTGCATTCGTCTGGGATCACCCTTTACCCCTTAATACGCTTTTGATATTTGCAAATGGAATTAAGCTGCTTTTTTTCGATGCTACAAAAGTGCACAGCATATTCACTGCCATCACCTAAAATAAACGAATTCCGATGGTCTTATGCTTTCATCGTTGGGATGGCAATTTGTGTAAAATTTTAGTGCATACGTGCGCAGTTCCAGCTTGCAAATTATGTGACAAAAAAGCCTCAATTATAAAGTACAGATGTTTACAGGTAACTTTAACTACTCCTTCAAAAGGGCAGTTTGATGAGCGAGCAGTGATAGTTACAGGTGAGCTACATATTAGTTGTTGGATAAAGCCCTGTATGTTTTCAACACGAGTCAAATGGTACATTTGCACAGTTAAAGCTTGCTCATGAGCAAGAGATTATCGCAAGAGTTTTCAGCTCTTTTCTTTCTTTCCTAGGAGTCATTCATAGGTAGTGATATACAGCGTGCACTATGTGCGCTTATCTCTCGGTTGAAAAGCTGTGCTGTGAAGCCAGCTTGCGTAACCCTGCTTCACCTTTCGGAAATTTGGATTCAAACGGCCTGTTCAGTAATGATGCAGTATGCTATTTGCTGAGTGAAAATGTCGTTGATTCGTTTCTTATTGTAATAGTTGAAGCCAATACTACAGAATGGTTTTTGAAGGTCGGCGAAACACTTCATGGAAGAGGAATATCAACGACCAAACAAATTACATACTTTTGGGACAATCTGCAAATTTTTTACTCACGTACTTGCAACCATGTAATGGATGTTTTTAAGTTTCCTACCAACAGCTTTTCGGCATCGGTTTTCATTGTGACGCAACTTCAACTTCCAGCATAAAAATTTTGCAAACAAACTTTGTAATGAAAAGGACTGCAACATGTGCCCTTCAGGCTCCTCCAATGGCATCGGACGGGCCACTGCACAGCTGTTTGCGCGAGAAGGAGCGTCAGTCACCTTGTGTGGCCGTAACGAGACATCCTTGCAAGTGAGTACATCAATTTATTTTCTACTAGATGGCAAACCCGGCTCCGCCCGGGGCCAAACTTTGCACACATACACTTCGGGGCAGGGAGCGTGTCATAGTCCACTTTTCGTTATCGATCGATGTCGATTTCACCGATTTTTTGCAAATTTTTAGCTACGGGGCTGGCCCCCTAGCTCAAATTTTGCAAAAAATCGATAAAATCGATATCGATCGATAACGAAAAGTGGACTATGACACGCTCCCTGCCCCGAAGTATATGTGTGCCAAGTTTGGTCCCGATCGGTTCAGAAATAAAAATTTCTATTCCGCACATACGTACAGACAGACAGACATACATACATACATACAGACAGACATTCAGCTTTATATATAAGATTTAAAATGCTCCTGGTGGGAGCTTAATTCAAATGTTTACTCAAAAAAAGTTCAGTTGAAAAAAATTTCGGCAAGTGTTAAAGCATGCAATAACCCTCGGCACTAAAGTGTTTTTGCCTCTCGATTTTTCGGGAACAATAATTTGTAAAATGAATAATTCGTAAAATCTCGACATTTTGGTGAGGGCTATTTTTTCGTTAATACCATCATTTATGACTTGTTATAATGATTGTGAGTTATATTATGTTGTGAATTTTTGGTTATATCTGAAAATCTATTTTAGACTTTCGTCAACTCCCAAAAATTAGAAGTTAAATTTTGCAAATTCTTTTTCTATATTCTCCTCAAAAAAGTGCAAATGATTGATGATGTTCGTTTCCAAAGTTACCTTGCTAACTTGTTAGTCTGAAATTCGAAGTTCTCGAATCTCCACGATAGGGCACTCTTAGAAGTAAAGTTTGTTTTGGGAAACCTTGAGTTTTTGAGCTTGAAAACTCGGATTTGCATTACTCGTAACCTTGAATTCTCAGTCTATGACACTGGATAGTGAGTTATGATTTGAACCTTCTTTATCAACTCAATGTTTTAGTCTTCCTTTCGAAGTTATTTTCGCATGGGGCTTTTCTTAAGTCACACCTAAAAATTTTTTAAAAAACGCTAACTACACGTATGCAGAAAAATAAAAATTTACCCAGTTCTGTTCAGGAATCCAAGCGTCTAGTACTGGCTGAAAATGGCAACAAAGAGGCAAAAGTTGTTCTTGTGCAAGGAGATGTACGCAAGGAAGATGTGATGAAGAAAATTATTGATGAAACAGTCAAGAAGTTCGGACACTTAGACGTACTGGTAAGAAGCGTTTTTAGTCATCTAGACAGAACACTTGCTAAACTTCGCAAATTTGCTATGTGTCAGATTAGACTACTTTCAAGGTAAACAATGCCGGTGGAATGTCGACAACCACTCCTGTGTACCGCGAAATAGAAGGCGATTTGAGCAGGTTCGATTATGCATGGGAATTAAACACAAGAAGGTTTGTGGAATCTGCGGAGATAGCGCAACACAATAGCTGGATGTTATAAATTTAGTGTACTGCGTCTTTGCCAGTTAGCACTTCCGCATCTCGCAACGACAAAAGGAGAGATTGTGAATGTGAGCAGCATTGCCGGACTCAATAATGGAGCGGTAAGCGGCTTCGGTGATTTGCTTAAGTGCGCTAGATTTTGCAAGTGCTTTAGGGTATACATGGCCCGTTCTACAGCACAGCAAAAGCTGCTCAGGACCAGCTTACGAGAAATCTCGCGCTTCATTACATCACCAAAGGAGTTCGTGTGAATTCTGTAAAGTAGGATATACCTTATGCTAAATTGGAGGGAAATTCAGATCAATTAATTTTAGTCCTGGACTTATCCACACTAGCATCTATCAGAAGCATGGGTTATCTGACGACATGGTCAAGAAGGTACGCATAATCTAATCAAAACATTAGATCGTAACATAAGCTTTGTTACAAGTTTAATTTTCATTACAACAATTCTCATTTCTATTTAGGTTTCAGGGAAGCTTTCGACAGAGCAAGGAATTCTCACAGGATGCCATGTCGCATCAACTTTGAAGCGAATTTTTAAGCCAGAAAATAAGTAGATCTAACTGCCCGAGAAATCGAAAAAAAGTAGGACGTTCGAATATTCGTAGGACGTAGAAAAGACCTAAAATTTTTAATGTTCACGCATATGCAAACCACATCAGACATCATGAATGCAGGTTGCGTATTTTTCGTCGACTAGAAATGGAAGAAATGAAAATTTTCCAGTTCTTATCAAAGCAGTGCTAAATTATTCTCACGCTAGTAATTGTGTACTACACGCTTTCAGAAATACAATCGTGAGTTTCCAGCTTTCCGTGAGCGTTAGTTTTCAAGAAGTATTGATTTCAGCATCGAACACCCTAGTTAGGAAAATTAAATTTGATAATTCTTGTAAACAAATGTTTAGCCGAGGAAATGTCTACGGGCGTAAGTCACGATTTTTGCAGGATTATCGTTATAGAAATATCGAGTCTCTCGATTTTCCGAGCGGTTCGATCTCTTGGGTTTTTAGCTTCAAACTTCGCACGGCTCAAAGTCAGTTGATATCTAGACATCATCTTGTAGAGCTTGCTTTGCTCTATCGATTAGTGCTGTAAAACAATTAAGCTTGAGTAGTGTGTGACTTGATGTGACAAAGTGCCAAAGTGTAGTTTTACAACCGAATTCAATTCCCAACTCTCAGTGTGAGGATGCGGCTGTGTCCGACTTCAAGCGCGTTCCTTGTCAACGCATCGGACAGCCTGAGGAAGTAGCAGAAGCGATACTGTTCTTGGCTGACAGGTGAAAGTTTCGAAAGGTTCTACTTCCATGACAAACAGAATGCTTTGAACACTTTGTAGCGATAATCAGGCTCTCTCGCAGTGTGGCTACTTTAATTTTGTGTCTTTTTTTGCAACTGGTGAGAGCACTTCAAGCGAATTGCAGGGAGAAGGCACTAAAATAAGTTTCCAATGACATCTTCTTATATATAAAGCTGAATGTCTGTTTGTCTGTCTGTCTGTCTGTATGTATGTCTGTACGTATGTTCCGAATAGAAAATTCCATTTCTGAACAGATCCGGACCAAACTTGGCACACATACACTACGGGCCCCGGCGGGTGTCACAGTCCACTTTTCGTATCGATCGATATCTATTTTATCGATTTTTTGCAAAATTTGAGCTACGGGGCTGGGAGTTGGCACAGGGGGGTAATCGAGCATGCTGATCACCCCGTGGGGGTGATCAGCATGCTCGATTACACCCCTCTGCCAAATTCCAGCCCCCTAGCTCAAATTTTGCCAAAAATCGATAAAATCGATAAAAGTAATGCACGGTTTCGAAAACTAATATTGTATTCGTAATCAGCAATTTGGCAGAGGGGTGTAATCGAGCATGCTGATCACCCCGTGGGGGTGATCAGCATGCTCGATTACACCCCTCTGCCAAATTCCAGCCCCCTAGCTCAAATTTTGCCAAAAATCGATAAAATCGATAAAAGTAATGCACGGTTTCGAAAACTAATATTGTATTCGTAATCAGCATGCTCGATTACCCCCCTGTGCCAAATCCCAGCCCCTAGCTCAAATTTTACAAAAAATCGATAAAAAAGTGGACTGTGAGACCTACCGGGGCCCGAAGTGTAAGTGTGCCAAGTTTGGTCCGGATCGCTTAAGAAATGGAATTTTCTATTTGGAGCATACGGCGGAGCCGGGTAAGCCAGCTAGTCTCTTATAATTAAGAAGTGGACTTGCACGCCAGATAATGTTCTAGCGAGCAACTCTCAATCTTGCTACCTCAAGTTTTTTGCACGGAACAAAACAATCCTTTTGTTCTCACCTGATTTGGTACACCGATGCCTGAAATATGTTGCTAGTCTTTTGTAGTTTTTTGAATGCTTCTAGTCTCTAGTTTTTTTACTATGAAAATCTGCTTATCATGGGCTTATGAGTTATTGCAAGCAGGGTGATCGAGAATTTGCATACAAATAATGATACTTGTTAGTTGTGCTTTCCCTATGCTCTGCTGCATCAATGTGGCGTGGAGATGACACCGATCAAACTGTGAGGCCTAAGGCATACCTCGCGACTCAGCCGAATCGCCACTTTCACGCGACTTGACGATTTGCCAGATTTCTATAAATTTGTCATGCGCACTTCCCGGACGCATATTTGGGTAGCTTGTAAGTTGTTGCAAACAGAGTGAGTTCTGACCAAAGGCAGCGCATTAACGACGAATTGCGAAGAGTCGCTGTTGTGCCAAATCGCGCAGCGACCGGAATCGCGCGAGGTATGCCTTAGGCCTAATAAACAGTCGACTGTACACTTTGGGAGTTGAGAAGGAGTTCGACGCCAGATCTCCGTCCGAGATTCAAATCTGACACAGTTTGGTAAGAAGCTTCGCTCTCGATGACTAACTAGCAGAAAGTTCTCGAACAACAAACCTTCTATTATACGAGGCACAAAAGTACACTTTTTGATCGTTTATAATTCTCTTTCCACAAAGTCCTTTGGTTGATTTTAATATCATTTAGTAGGCAGGCTTCAACTTATATTCACAGTATGGAGCGATCACCTATTTTCTTCATTATTGTAAATTACGGCAGGAGCTTTCAGCATACAGTGCCATTGTAAAAAAGATAGTTCCAAAAAGCTTGAAAGTTGTGTAGCAGTCTTTTCAAACGTGATGATTTCAATAAATAACCTTTAACAAGTTTTGAAGCATTTTAAATATTTTTTATTACAGTCTGAAAAACACTTGAAAAACGTTATTGCGATTTACCTGGCACAACTTATGGAAAAAGTTTTGAATAGCATGCAAATTTCATATTCATAGTCAACGAATAAAAGTTTAGCCTGAATATAAAGTTTTGAGCTTTTGGGTATCCATTCTGGGGCATAATGAAACCGTTTATAGCTTGATCTTCAAGGTCCTACCGTGAACCTACATTAGTCATAAAGAAATGGACGATCTACTATATATTGTGAATCTTCGAAGCCTGCTCTATTGAATAATGCTTAGAGCTAAGAAGGGAATGGTCAGAATATAACTCAGCCATTCCAAACAAGCTGTATAAACTCGTTTCGAAACGCTGATCACAAATATCACGACTTATAATAACGGGCTAAGGGTTGTTTACGTCTTTTTGTGTGTGTAACCGTGTGTGTGTCTGTCCATTACGAAATTCGTAGAGCATGTTTCAGCCAACATCCTGAGCCCAAATTTTGCACAGCGCATACTACTTACGTGAGAATCCACTTTACAAAAGCACAAGCGAATCCGTTGTGTGGATCCCTCAAAAAATCCGCGTCAAGCGGATCCACTTGGCTTCTGGCCAATAAAATTGAGCCTGTAGCACAACTTTTTGCAAGGTCACGGAAATGTTTGACAAACAGATGTGCAAAGGATGGACTTCAGCTTAAAAAATTGAACTAAAGTTTATTACTTTGCGAAAACGGTGATAAAAAGAATCGGTTGCGTGAGTGTTCACTTTGCCAAGATTTTACCCGATCATTTGAAAAGATTTTTGCACAGAGATGTAGCCCCCGGTCATTTTGTATCTTATGGCGAATACCAAGCCATAGAAGTTCCAAAAACCGATTCAAATCAGCATTTGTTCTTTTGGGGGAAGTTTCATTCACGCGAAATTACCGATCTCACATGAAAAAGCTTTTAGAATGAATAGTTGTTTACGAATCATTTTCGTGATAGTTGGCATAGCGCGGTGAGTTTCAATGTCATTATTATGCGGGAATGAGTAAGGCATACAAGTAGGCCTACTTTCTGTATGCCTTACTGTGCGAGCCTCTGCGAAGCAAGGGTGACGCACTGGTATGTTTATTATCTGTCAAAGTACTATATGGGAGAGGTTCTGAGCGTTTGAATGTGCGAATGTCAAGTGCTCTGCGGCCCATGTTCCACAAAATAGGTTTCAAAAACACTTGTTTGGGTTTTTGGTGAATGTGCTTATTCCTTGTAATAAAAATAACCATAGCCACTGTAAATGCGCGCCAACAGGCTGCCTTTCAAGTAAATACAATTGTCGAAACTCGAAACATTCCTCATATTTAGAAGCTCACTAGATGGCAAACCCGGCTCCGCCCGGGACCAAACTTTGCACACATACACTTCGGGGCAGGGAGCGTGTCATAGTCTACTTTTCGTTATCGATCGATGTCGATTTTACCCACGCTCCCTGCCCCGAAGTGTATGTGTGCAAAGTTTGGTCCAAATCGTTTCAGAAATAAAAATTTCTATTCCACACATACGTACAGACATACAGACATACAGACATTCAGCTTTATATATAAGATAACTCCTTCCAGATAGTCACTTGGCAGATAAAAAACACGTATTTGAAATTAGCGCTTCAAGACGTCCGATGGTATACAGCTTGTTTGGAATGGCTGGATTACGTTCTGGCCATTTCCTCGTTAGCAAAAACTTCGTGGGAAGAAAGTCATTTCCGATTAAAAAGTGTGTCTTACTTATCGGACATCCTGTATATCGGGCAAGGGTTTCCTGTCATACCCAATATTACATAAAAGAGAACTCTGATCAATTTTTCAGGAAGCGATCAAGCTACATTATTGGTCACCAACTAGTCGTCGACGGTGGATCATCTTTATACTTCCCGCTACAAGCAGAAGGTCCAGAAATTCTCGCTGGCATACTTGGACGGAGTAATCCCAACAAATAAATGTATAGCTCATTCAAACTTGTAAACGATTTCACGAGTAAAATGGTTCAATTTCGCAATAAAAAAACTCGGCGGTGCCAAATGATAGGTTACGCGAGTTCTCGATTAGGTTTCTTGAACAATGATGTAAATTTGGTTGTACAAAGTTCGTCGGCGCAAACAATAATATGGGCGTTTGTTCAAGGCCAATGTTATTGTTTGTAATTGTTTATTATTATGTTTATTATTTATTATTTGTTTATTCGCCACTATCTAGTCAACAAAATAACATGTGGAGGGATGCAAGGGACAGAATACATTACATGTATCATCGCACGAACGTTTTGTGATTTTTAGAAGAAGTCGGTTCTACGGTTTCAAGGTTATTCTATAATAAACAAATGCATAATTTGTTCTGTGCCTTGTCTTTAATAATACACTACATTGCCTTAATTTCCGGCTATACGCCGCCGCAGAGGCGTGACAGTGTTTGATGCAATGATATATCGCCAAACACCACTTCCGACTTTTATATTCAATCCGTCTAAAGTGGAAAAAGTAAGCCGACGGCTGATTTGCACTCAACAGTGTGCTATTATTTTACAGGAGCCCCCTTAACTGTGATGACACGAAAATGGGCCGTGTGCATGATAGCACATGACTGCTTATCTAACAAGAGAAGCGTGTGTAGTCGAAGTGGCCTTTCCAGATGAGACCCATACAGCTTTGAGGAGCATTGAGCGGTAATTTCAAATCTACTTTCCAAATGTGCAAGCGCTTCTGGATGCCGACTTATGGGCGTTTTTCGAGTCAAAAAATTGAACGCAAAACTGGAACAGAATCGCCCAAATTCGCTCAAATGGTCTAGTGTCAAGTATCAGAGCCCTTTATGCAATGGATACATTTTACCTAATATGCTAACACTTAACATTGCCTTATCTGAGCGCTGTAAAGATTGTAATAATGAATTTTACCCAATTTCTGCATTCATTTTTGGTTCCAAAAAACGGTCATAACTCTGCGTCCAGAGGCGCTTGGCAGATTTGGAAGGCAGATTTGGAATCATCGTGCAATACTCTTCAAAGCAGTATGGGTCACATTTGAAAGGCCACTTCGACTAAACACGTTTCCCTTGTAAGTACAGACATAAGTGACCGCCAAAAAGCTGCGGACAAGCCGCCATCCTTTTATCACGCTCATTTTCGGATGGAAAACAAAGATGAAAAAATGACTGGATTGCATGAGGTGATAGAGCTCTTTGAGAGCTACAACTCACTCATTGCACTTTCTGGAAAACATGTACTATAAAAATTTTAAAAATCGTTCTCTAAAAAAGTCCGAAAACGGCTGCGTCACAATGTCGCGGACATTAACTCTTCAAACGCGAAAAATTTCTTTTAGCTCTTTTCTTGGAGCAAAAACAAGAGTTTTCCGGACAGGTAAGCGTACTATGTTGTAGAGCTCATCGAGGACAATAAACAGGTGGTGGTTAGTTCCAAAAATGCCAAGCTTGAATTTTATTTTGCTTTTTTCAAATAAAACTTCTAGTTCCCCTTTTTAAGCCAAATTTCTGCACATGGAAACCTATTCAAGATATCCCAACAAAGCTAATTGGATAAAATGGATGTCCTTTGACATCTTCTATGCATCCGATGTGTGCTGTTAAGTTTTTTTCTGCTGAAAATAGCTCTTGACAGTGAGTGCACATGACCTCACCTGCACCTCACCACCGACTTGCACCGCTTTGCAGGCCTGCAGCTCGGCCGCCAGTCATTCTACGAGCCTGCGCATAAATTTGTTCGAAAGAGGGTGGCTTTCTCGACACGACGGCATGTAAATGAGTTGGGTTTGAAAAACCCCGGAGATTTGACGGACGGGGTGAGAAAGCGCAGCTTCAGTTGTAGGCTGAGGATTTTCCAGCTGAAATTGAGCAAAGCTCCTTCCGCCACCAGTTCCACCCTGAAAGTTGAAAATTTTCAATTTTCTTGTAATAGATCCATTTCGGAGCTCTAACACTGTTTTGGTGTTGTTAAGAGCCTTCACTCCATTCGCCTCTAAGGCTGCGCTTTTTCACCCCATGTCAAATCTCCGGGATCTTTCGAACCCAACTCATTTGCATACCTTCGTGTCGAGATAGTCACGCTTTTTTCGATGAACCTACTTGCAGGCTCGTAGAGCGACTGCCGGCCGAGCTACAGGCCTGCAAAGCGGTGCAGGTCGGTGGTGAGGTGCAGGTAAGGTCATGTGCACTCACTGTCAAGAGCTATTTTCAGCAAAGAAACTCAGCAGAACACGTCGGATGCATAGAAGATGTCAAAGGACATCCACTTTATCCAGTTAGCTTTGTTGGGATATCTTGAGTAGGTTCCCATGTGAAGAAATTTGGCTTAAAAAGGGGAATTAGAAGTCATTTTTGAAAAAAAAAAGCAAAATAAAATTCAAGCTTGGCATTTTTGGAAGTAACCACTACCTGATTATTGTCCATGATGAGCTCTAAAACACGGTACGCTTACCTGTCCGGAAAACTCTTGTTTTTGTTCCAAAAAAAGACCTAAAAGAAATTTTTCGCGTTTGAAGAATTATTGTTCGCGACATCATGACCGGCCACTTTCCTTTTTTAGAAAAAGATTTTTACAATTTTCAGGATACATGTTTTCCAGAAAGCGCAATGCGTAAGTTGTAGCCCTTGAAAAGCTCTATCAACGTATGCAATCCAACTATATTTTCATCATTGTTTTCCATCTGAAATGATCGATGAAAGAAGGAAGGCGGCTTGTCCGCAACTTTTTGGCGGTCACTGTATATACAGCTGATTGCTAGTAAGTTACTAATCAACATGTCCATTATAGAAATTTTGTGTAGACCGATCAGCGTCAAGCTTTGCAATGTGTTTTCGACACTGGTCCACCATGTAGGCTATTTTCTCAGCTGATTCCCACTCTCTGATTTATCGATTTCTGGCAACACTGCTAGAGAATGGATCTATCGTTCACTGTTTCATAATCAAAGATTCGCGCGGATAAGGGCAGTACGTTTTATTGTGACGGTGAAGGTACGTCGATGTAAATTCACGCTTCTAAACTGAAATATGAACTTGATTTCGAGATGATAAGACTGCTTTACTCTTACTTCGTCATGGGCGCCTCTAAAATAATTATTCGTTCCACTTATCTAGCAAGTAAAAGATGACCGTTAAGCGAGTGGTACAGAATGGTACAAAGAAAACTATTGAAGAGTGTAACTCAATGCGCTTCATCAAAAACTGTTGAAATAAATGTATTAGGTTGTTGCAAAGATAATGTCCGTTTGTATACCTCAAGTTCAAAAGAACATAACTCGGCTCAGACAAAAGATATTCATTCAAAATAAGGACGGACTAGCAGATTTTGCACATCTTTGCCAACAAGATGCAAGTTTCCATATTCCATTAGCATAAAAATCTGGCTTTCTAGAATCTACAAAATCTTGGAAGGCGATTTTCGCATCTTCCTGATTTTCGAATTTCTTTCCGTGCAGAAAGTGATTCAAATGTTCAAAAAAGTGATAGTCTGTTGGCAGTGGCGTACCCAGGATTTCGGCTCGGGGGGGGGGGGGGAGGTGGGCGACAAAAATTTTTTTCCGATGAAGGTGCGTGGCGTCAGCCACGCACTCTGAAAATTTTTTTGGTATGTTCCCCAAAAATTTTCGCGGGCCGCTCCAGAATTTTTTTTATAAAACTAAAATGAGTTTTTGAAAAATTTTAAAAATTATTTCAATTATTTACAAGTACAGACAAGTTATTTGCGCAATTTTATAACCCATGTAAGTAACTTTCAAAAATTTCGGGACGCGTCCCTCGGTACGCCACTGTCTGTTGAGGAAAGATCTGGTGAACAAGGAGGATGAGGGAGAGTTTCGTAGCCCAACTCATTCAGTTTCTGCAAAGTTGGTTGTCCAACGTGTTGCCTGGCGTTGTCGTGCAAGAGTATCGGTCCCTTTCTATTCACCAAAGCCGGACAAAGAAGACTCAACTTCCGGTGCATTTCTTCAATTTCAAGACAATAGGACTCATCTGTGATACTTTCGCCACGCCTGAGAAAGTTATAATGTGTTATGCCCGCGGCGCACCACCAAACAGTAACCATGGTCTTCTTCTGGTGTGGTTTCGGCTTGGCAAACTGTTTTGGCGGCTCATCGCGATCCAACCATTGAGCTGACCTTTTACGATTGTCATGTAGGATCCACTTTTTGTCACAGGTCACTACGTGGTCAAGAAACGGTTCGTTTTTGTTGCGCAGCAAAAGCGTAGAGGAAACCTCATGACGTCGCTTCATTTGATATTCGTGAAGTTCGTGAGGCACCCACTTATCTGAATTTTTCACCTTTCCCATTTCGTTCAAATGGCGAGCGACTGTGGCGTTGGCGTAAGAAACTTTAAGCTCCTTTGCTATTTCCCTAGTGCTTTTTGCGGATCAGCTTCAATCAGGTGCTTTAGATGCTGATCGTCAAGTGAAGAACGTCTGCCGCGACCTTCCTGACTTTCAAGGCTGGTGTCTCCGCTCTTAAATTTTTTGAGCCAACGTCTCACTGTTCTCTCATTAACGCTTCCTTGTCCCCAGACTTTATTGATATTTTGGGCTGTTTCGATTGTAGTCCGATAGAGAGAATGTTCTAAAAGAAAATCAGTCAATCTTAGTATGACATCTTCGTTTCCCAGGGTAAAAACCTTTAATCCTTGCGGTTTTTGGTTATTCCAAAAGCACTGCTCAAAAGCATATACCCTTAGCTTTCGAATCGTGTATAGGTTTTCGTACGAAAACTCAACCGCTTTTGTTGAGAAACAAATAAAAGTGAAACGGAAAAAGGTGGACATTATTTTTGCAACAACCTAATATTTTGAGTAGAGCCAGCGTGTAGGCAAGTATGCATGATTTGATGGGGTAAACCAATAATGCAAAGGCATTTCAAATCATTATATTCAAACAGAGCTGTCTTTTGCGTATTATGGATTGTTCGGTAAAAAGAAACGTGGTTCTGATACTAATCTACTTGATGTATTTAGAGAATACTCTTCTGCAACTATCTTGAGCCTAAATGTCATTTGTTCTTTCACAGTTTTCGCTATGCTATACAAAAGAAAATCATGCATCGGAACTCAATCCTCATGCTTAAAGGATAAGAGTCGTGAGGGAGA